GTGATTCGGCGCCTGAGTGGTTCCCACATGTGCCTTCGTGGACTTCCCTCAAAACATACTCGGTATCTCCCGGTCCCAGACATATCGCTAGCGGACCGTCGAACATCTTTCTGAGTAAGGTTCCATCTTCGGACAAGCTAAATCGGGCTGCTTTCGTGCACAGGGCTCTCGATTACTTTGGATATGAAGGAAGTTTTCCGTTCTTCAAATACTCGATTTATTTGTCTCCAATCCTAGGTCAAGCTTGTGAATTTTATCATGGCGTGACCTTCTTCGACTACTGACCTCATGAGTTGTACGACAACCCTTGAATTGAGTTCGTTGTCTTTGACTGAGGAGCCTAGATTTGCGAGGCCATCGACTTCGCTATTTTGATCTCGAGGTACATGTTGCAAAGTCCATTCTTTGAACTGATGTAGAGTTACTTGTAGCTTATCCAAGTATCTTTGCATTCGTTCCTCTCAAACTTCAAAGGTTCCGTTAGCCTGATTCACAAAGAGGAGGGAGTCGCATTTGGCTTTGATCACCTCTGCTCCCAAGCCTTTGGCTAGTTTGATACCTACAATCATTGCCTCATATTCGGCCTTGTTGTTAGTCAATTTTACTGTTCTAATAGATTGTCTAACCACGTTACCTGTGGGTGGTTTCAGCACGATACCGAGTTTGGACCCCTTCAAGTTCGAAGCACCATCTGCAAAAGAGGGTCCAGATCCCCGAATATGTACCCGAGTTGACTAATAATTCTCTTTCAACCTCGGGAACTAGGGCTGGCGTGAAGTCAGCCACGAAGTCTGCCAAGATTTGAGGCTTGATGGTAGTTTGGGGTCGATACTCAATATCGTACCCGCTGAGTTCTACGGCCCATTTGGCCAATCGCCCCGAAAGCTTGGGTTTATGCAAAATATTTCGAAGAGGATAAGTTGTTACAACACATATGACATGACATTGAAAGTATGGTTTAAGTTTCCTAGAGGCGCTTATCAAAGCGAGCGCTAACTTTTCTAGATGAGGATATCTAGTTTCGGCTTCACCTAGGGTCCGACTAACATAATAGATAAGGAATTCTGTACCTTGTTCTTCTCGGACTAGGACCCCACTTAACGCTATCTTCAATACTTCCATATATAAGTAAAGTTGTTCGTCTGCCCTCGGCGTGTGAAGCAACGACGGGATGGACAAGTATTGCTTAAGTTCCTCCAAAGCTTGTTGACATTCTGGGGTCCATGAGAAGTTGTTCCTTTTTTTCAGTAATGAGAAGAATCGATGACTTCTGTCGGACGATCTCGAGATGAATCGACCTAGGGCTGCAATGTCCCCGGTTAGCCTTTGTACAGCCTTTACATTATCCACTACCGCGATATCCTCGATTGCTTTGATCTTATCGGGGTTGATCTCAATCTCCCGATTCGACACCATGAATCCGAGAAACTTGTCGGACCCGACCTCGAATGCACATTTCTCTGTGTTGAGCTTCATGTTGTATTTCTTCAATATATTGAAAGTTTCCTGCAAATGCTTCAAATGGTCCTCTTCTCGTAGGGACTTAACTAGCATGTCATCAATATAAACTTACATATATTTCCCTATTTGTTCTTCGAACATTCGGTTTACTAGGTGTTGATAGGTTGCACCAGCATTTTTTAGTCCGAATGGCATTACATTATAACAGTAGGTACCATACTTATTGATGAACGAAGTTTTTTTCTGGTCTTCCGGGTTTATTTGTATTTGGTTATACCGTGAATAGGCGTCGAGAAAACTGAGGATCTCATGGCCGGCCGTGGCATCAATCATGTGATCGATGTTAGGCAAAGGAAAAGAATCCTTGGGGCATGCTTTATTTAGGTCTTTGTAGTATACACACATCCTAAGCTTGTTTCCTTTTTTAGGGACTACTACTACATTCGCTAACCATTTGGGATTTTTACTTTCCGGATAGACCCTATTTTGAGAAGTTTGGTTACCTCGTCTTTGATGAAAGTGTGTTTGACCTCGGACTGATGCCTCATTTTTCGTTTCATCGGGTGAAACTTCGGGTCCAAGGTCAGTTTATGAGTAGTGATCTTCGGTGGGATCCCTGTCATATCGAGACTGGACCAGGCAAAACAATCCATATTAGCTATAAGAAATTGAATAAGTTTTTTCCTGAGCTCGGGAGTTAACTCCGTGCCTAGGTATATCTTTCCATCGGGCAGATGCTCGATCAATATGATTTGTTCCAGCTCTTCGACAGTTGATTTTGTCGCGTCAGAATCATTGGGGATTATGAAGTATCAAGGTACCCTATAGTCATCATCCTCGTAAGTCCCTTACTCATCGGATGGGTCGAGGCCGGTGTCTGTGGTTGCTATTTAATCTCCTGCTTTCCCTTCGAACTTGACCCTTTCGTTGATGAGAGCGCCGATATCGGTATCATTTCATCGATGGCAAACATTTCATTGGCGACGGGCTGCTCCCCGTATACTGTTTTGACTCCCTGTGGCGTTGGGAACTTTAGAACCTGGTGAAGGGTCGAAGGCACTTCCCTCATGTTATGGATCCACGGTCTCCCGAATAGGGCATTATACCTTATACCACCCTCGATCATATGGAACTTCGTTTCTTGGATGGTCCCAGCCATGTTTACTAGCAAAGTTATTTTGCCTTTGGTGGTTTCACATGCCATATTGAAGCCGTTTAGAACTCGGGCCGCGGGTACAACCTGATCTTGTAGGCTGAGCTGTTCCACGACCCTTGATCGAATTATGTTGGCCGAGCTACCTCGATCAATCAAAACACATTTAACTTGAGTCTTATTCATAAGTACAGATATTACCAGTGCATCATTGTGGGGTTGTTCGATCCCTTCTTCATCCTCGTCATTGAAAGACAAGGTTCCTTCCGGTACGTAATCCCGAGTTCGCTTCTCTCTTGTGATCGACACCTTGGTGCATTTTAATACTGGTCCTTGAGGAGTATCGACCCCTCCAATGATTATATGAATCACATGCAGTGTTTCTTCTTCCTCGTTCTGTCTACTGGAATCTCTGTTTTTGAAGTGATTCTTGGCCCGATCGCTTAATAATTCCCGAAGGTGCCCCTGGTTGAACAATCGGGCTACTTCCTCCCTTAGCTGCCTGCAATCTTCTGTTTTATGGCCATGGGTGCCATGATACTGGCATATTTGGTTGGGATTTCTCTGGGCCGGATCGGTCTGCAGAGGTCGAGCCATCTAGTATCCTTGATACGTCCGATGGCTGATACAATGGCGGAACATCTACGTTGAAGTTATATTCCGACAATCGTGGCGCTTCTTTGGGCCCGACATCCCTTTTGAAACCACCCTTGCTCATGGGTTCCCGTAAACTTTGACCTTGAATTTCTCCTCTCATTTTGTGCAAATTTTCGCCTAGATCCGTTGCCTCTACGGTCTCCGTTATACGGTTGATATCGATATCTATTCGACCTTGGTTCTCGATCGATATCCCTATTGATTCTATCCACGGGCCTGTTAAGATAAACGGACCCGGAAGAAGTCCCCAGATGATCATCCTCGACCCTAATCTTCGACTGATACCGATTATGTACATTGGCCCAAGTGACAGTTGGATTCTCGATCAAGTTTTGCTTCAACTCTTGTGAAGCTATAGAACTCCGAACGTTGAGGCCTTGAGTGAACGCTTGAACATCCCAATCATCGGTGACCGACGGCAAATCCATTCGTTCCGTTTGGAATCGAGATACGAATTCCCTGAGCATCTCGTTGTCCTTCTGCCATACCTTGGAAAGGTCTGACTTTCTTGTTGCAACCTTAATGGCTCCGGCGCGTGCCTTTACAAGAGAATTTGAAAGCATAGCAAACGAATCAGTAGAATTAGGCGGTAAATTATGATACCATATCATAGCACCCTTCGATAGATTCTCACCGAATTTCTTTAGCAAAACGAATTCGATCTCGTCATCTTCCAAGTCATTTCCTTTGATGGCACACGTGTATGAGGTGACGTGTTCGTTTGGATCAGTCGTCCCGTTATACTCAGGAATCTCGGGCATACGGAACTTCTTCGGGATTGGCTTCGGAGCCTCACGTTGGGGGGGGGGGGGGGGAAGGTTTTTGTACAAACTTTTTTGAATCTAGTCCTTTTAATATCGGTGTTGCCCCCGGGATTCGGTCGACCCTGGAGTTATATGTTTCCACCTTCTTACTGTTTTCCTCGATCTTCTTTTCCCCGGTCTCGATTCGCTTTGTCAACTCTTTGAGCTTTTTTATAATAGCGGGATTGGTCTCTGATTCCTTCTCATTCGATTTTCTCGAAGCTGATTCAACCCTGTGTACTTCTTGGGATGGCTCGAGTTCGACCCTGCTCGGCGTGTGGTTCTGATTTTGGAGCTGAGCTATTGCTGCCTGCTGGGCTTGCAACATTTCGAAGATTACCCGCAGGCTGATCCCGCCATATTCACTGCCATGTGCATTCTGAGGTGCTGATCGGGTACCCCCACGAACATTGCTTTTGGGATCGACGGCCATATTTCCATTGATGGCTACATGTGAACTGACGTCGATTGGGTCTACAGCTGGAACTCCATCGAGGCCAGCAGGGGGTACAACGTTTCCTGGTGCAATGTTCTCATTCTCGCCGTGGTGGCTGAGATCATTGTCAATGTGTTGAGGTGCTGACTGAGAGTTTGACATTTTTTATTCCTGTAATCAAAGACGCTTCAAAGAACAAGCGTAAAAAGTGTGTGTTACGAAAATTGTACCAGGCAATCACTATTATCCTTAGCCCCACGGTGGGCGCCACCTAAAAACGGATAACAATTGAATTTATACTGTGGTTTTAAGGATACGTGATTTACTTAGCACAAACTAAGAGAAAACGTGAATTGATAATGAAATTAATTGCAAATATAAAACCAAATAAAATGTATAGCTTTGATACTTGAGCTGGGTTGCCCTTGAATCAAATGAATATTTCGCCATAAAGTATGAACAAAGTAACATAAATATTGAGAGCTTAAGAGAATAAGAATATATTTGCTTTATGTAATGTGTATATGATAATGTTTTACAAATGATCGGACACCCTTTATATAGCAGGGGAGTCCTGCTCTTGGTATAAGTCTAAATACAGTAAGAAATCTCATGATTGGCTAATTAATCGGCCTCTTCTTGATACGTGCCGGGATTTGCGCCGTGATCTTCGCCCGATTGCGGATATTTCGTCTTTCAGTTATTCGACCACGTAAGCTTCCCTCGAACTCCAACTTATTCGGTCTTGACCTTGGTCGATCTCAATCTTTGTCGGTCTCGATTTTGGTCGGTCTCGATCTTAACCGGTCTCAGGGTCTCGAGCTTGACAACCTAATTTTGCACCATATGAACCGAAGCCGATCCTCGACTTTCATGCTCCAGCCTCGATCAGTCGCACAAAAAAGGGCAAGCCCGATTTTGACCTACAATTTAAAAAATCTGAACACATGCCTTACAGGAGGTTGCACCTTTGGGTGTGGTGACCTTTTACTATAGATAGAACGACTTTATGAATAATTCTCTTCGATGAAACTACATTATGCATGTCGTGGAGGGCTTATTTCAGCTCTTTATGACTTTGTGCTGCCAACATCTTTTAGTACCTTCTTCCGAAGGTTTCCGTCTGAAGGTTTCCGTCTGCAAAAAGAACCATTACGTAATGTTGCTCCACAAGTTGGAGAACGGCTAACTGATGGAATGTCTACATTCTAATGCTTTTTCCCACTGCTACTTTTGGCAGCTGGACCTGCAAATACGCTTGGTATTTCTGAACCTAATTGCTTAGAAATGGGCTCTTTAACCCTCATACCCTTGTGTTCTTCACACCGTTTTCTTCCTGCTACAGGTTGCCTGGTGCAGAAACTACCATCAGTTAAATGAACTCCACATATGACATTGTGGTTCTGGTTGATAAGAGGACAGCTGGAGAAATCTTGAGGGTGCTGTGTATCAGCCCTACGGGATAACATCTGATGACAATCATTACTAGAATAAGTCCTGTATTCCAGTATAGACTGGCCATTTTTGTCTGTCACTGGCTGAGAAATGCAGCCTCGATTTCTCCTTCCCTTGTGCTCCAAGCATCTTTTGTTTCTCTGGAATGGTTTTCTTGCACAAGGAGCACCACCATCCAAGATAAAACCACAAATTGGAGCATTTTCCTCGCCTCTACTTGCGCAAGGTCTTGTGCTCTCATTTATCACAGATGAATTTCCTTCTGCAATCAACTTGGAATTTACACCATTTACCTTCATTCCCTTGTGCTTAGCACATCGTATATTTCCCGTTATTGGAGGCCTCATACAAACAGATCCATGACCCAAAGCTACACCACAAATAGTATTTGGATCACCATTTACACCGGAACTTAGTGAAACTATTCTTGGCTTTGATCGACCAAATTTGAAGATTTGGGGAAGGAAATAAGTGCTTTTGAAGCTATCATGAAAATCAGATCCGTTCTCCAACAAAAGGGGCTTGCAAGGTTTGATTCTGACACCTTTTTGTTTCTCAAGGGACAATTGAAGCTTCCTGACAAAAGCAGGAAGACGAGTTGCTCTTGAAATGCCATCAAGTTTCTGGAGAACATCATTGTGGCGACGTACGCCATTACTGCCTTTATTCCAAGCATAGTCAAATCTGTCGAGCAGCTGGGATTCAGTTTTCTCAGCGTCTTTGTTGTCATTCATCTGTTAAATATTAGGAAACATTACCAAAATCCATTAGTAACTAAGGTATTTTTTGGTATACGTCAATAGAGCATGTAATTACTTTCAATCTTTAACATGCTTAACTAAGCAAACAAATGGCTGGCAGACAGCTCACGATGATTCTTCAAAGAATGAACAAAAGTGAAATGCTGAAAGCAAAAACTCAACTTGGTCTATTTGTGTTGTGGTCTAGAGCTTAATAAGATAACCTCATAATAGTAATTTCCCAAAAGATTACAGAGAAAAACTAGGAGAGCTTTAATCTGAATGCCAAATAGACTGACAACATGCAACTTCTAGTTGAATTTTCCCAAGGAAAGGTAAGCGCAGCATTAAAATATCTACCTTCACATTAATTCCTCAAAACAAACAAAAGAAACTATCTTCACTTGTTATTTGAATGAATGAGCGAGCAACAAATTATGCATTTCGATATCTTGAGGAGGAAATTACAAATTAACAACATTTGCAAGTGGCTTAAAGTTGTAGATAGGAGAAACATGTACTTACAGGTGCCCACCTATAAACGATAGAGAAGCCTCTTGAGAATGCTTCTGTAAACAATCCTGCTCTCTTTGAAGCAGATACATTTACTTGGTCGTGCAGTGCACTATTGGAGCAGCCATTCTCTAAATGAGCGCCTTCACGGCCATACCGCTGTAGCCTAGTCCTAACATTGTCAGATTTTCCAACATATACAGGAACAATATAATCAGGGTCAAGTCTGCTAGCCTCTCGCCCAGCTTGGTGTCGTGTCACAGCTATTCCCAGCTCATAAACTCCAGAGCACGAAGTGCAGTTTGGCAGGTTCTGAGTCCTATATTTCTCTGCTCCTTCCTTCCTCAATAAATAATCCGTCCAATCATTAGGCCCAATTAGAATCTGGCAATAAATACTCGCAATGAATAAGAATGAGCCAATCAGAAGAACTAGAGTTAAGTTGCTAATATACCTTCCTACAATTGGTTTTCTTCTCATATTGGAGAAAAGATTTGAGCTTTATCACATATTCTCCGACAATATAGATTCTTTTTTTAAAATTATTTTTGGTACATTGGAGAAAACGCAAATTTCTTCATTTATCTTCTGTGATGACTTATCTGCCCGATTGGTTGTATTTTTAACAGCAAATTCTGTGATGAATTTGACTTATCTGGCCAAATGGTTGTCATTCTTAACATCAAATTCTTAACTACAGCTCTACTAAATTACCTAATCAGCAAAAACTGCAGCACTACTCCAATCCAAACAACTAGAGACAGCTCTAGATCTGAATTTAAGTCTGAAAGCTAGCGAACGTGCAATTATCGGAACAAAAAGTGGAGAAGTTTTGATCGAACCTTCCAATCGGAGAAAGCAGAGTCATGTTTTGTACGCTTACAGTCTTCTCTTTTCAGCCGAACGGTGATGGATCTGTGAGTATCTCCCATTGAGCAAGCTAGCTAGCCTTTGCTCCGAGTTGTACATAGGACCGTTGCCTCCAGCTTTATTTGAAAGTGCAGCCCCGTGCCGTGATTATCCATTCACCGGATATGGCCTTCTTAGGACCCTCGGTCAATAAAATAATTAATTAATATCAATAACTCAAGTTAGGAAGTAATTAATTCTAAAGTTCTATCAATAATAAGGTTTCCAACCTCACAAATTTATTCTGATTTCCTAATCAGATAATGTAAAATCCCACTTCAAGAGTGAGCCAGCCAAGTGTATTCCCATTCCAATCAAAGAAGGAAATAACTAAAAAAAGGAAAGAAATATGATAAAATAAGAAAATAAAGAGTCAACAACAACAACAACAATAAAGAGTCAACAACAACAACATCGACCCAGGAAAATTCCACAAGTGAGGTCTAGAGAGGGTAGTGTGTAGGCAGACCTTATTAATGAGCTATGTAATAGTCATGACCCAGGTTAACTTAACTGTAGTTAGGACTTCTTGTAACTGTAGTTAGTTATTAGTAGTTACCTGTAATTAGTAGTTAATGGTTAGTTAACTACAGTTAGTGATTAGGCGGTTATATTAGGTACTACTGTAGCTTGTACAGTACAATTCATTCTGGCAGAGCTATGAGAAAAGCTTCTTTCTCTCTTCTCTATTTCTTCTCTCTGTAAGAGAGATTATCATTCTTAGATCCACAAAATTGACATGGTATCAGAGCCTATAGACGATTAAATCTAAAGGTTTTCACTGAGAATTGTTGAGAACAAGAGATTCGTCGTTTGTTTCTCAAATTCTTAGCCGGAAACGTCAATTGCTCGCCGAAATTCTAAACAGTCATGGCCGGAGACGAAGCTACCAGTCGTACAGAGGAAGTAACGAATCAATCGACAGTGGTGATAGATCATAATCATCCACTGTATTTACATCCATCGGACACACCAGGAGCATTGTCACTTGGTTTTCAGCTGCAAGGAATGGAAAATTACACGATCTGGAGCCAAGCTATGGAAGTTTCGTTACTAACACGGAGCAAATTAGGGTTTATCGATGGTTCAGTGACGCGTGACACTTATGGAGACACTCATGCAAATCTATGGGATCGCTGCAATGCTATTGTGAAATCGTGGATAATGCACAATGTGAGTCGCGATTTGCTGAGTGGAGTATTATTCCGGTCAAGTGCACATGCAATTTGGTCGGATCTTAAGGAACGATTTGATAAGGTTAATGCATCGCGAATGTACTACTTGCACAGGGAGATTTTTTCATTAACACAAGGTATATCTTCTGTTTCAGTTTACTACTCGAAATTGAAGGATTTATGGGATGAATATGACTCGATTATGCCTCCCCCTGTTTGCTGTGATAAGTCGAAGAAGTTCATTGAACGACAGGAGTATCAATGTTTATGACAATTTTTAATGGGATTAAATGATAGCTATAGTCAAGCTTGTAGTCAAATCATAATGAAATCTAAAATTCCAATTTTCAATCAAGCCTATGCTATGATCCTTCAGGACGAAAGTCAAAAACTAGTAGCAGGTGGTGGTTATAGTGCTGAGTCCATTGATCCTACAGCCCTATTCAGCTCTAATCTTGGTCAAAAACAAAGGAGGAACTTCAATGTTGAATGTGACTTCTGTCATTTAAAAGGTCATACTAAGGAGGAATGTTACAAGCTGATGAAATGTGATTACTACAATAAGAAGGGACATTTGAGGGCCAATTGTTATAAACTGATAGGGTATCCTGCAGATTTTAAGCCTCAGAAACGAGCTAATATGGTTGGAAGTTCAAATAATCAACCAATTCCATCTTCATCAGTCATGATGACACAAGAGCAACATTTGGGACCTATGCAGGGATTCACTTCTGAACAACAAAGCTTAGGGCCTATGCAAATGTTCACTCCTGAGCAATATGGACAGATTCTAAGTCTGCTAAACAAGGCATCAATCTCTGAATCATCTGTCAGTGCACACATGGAAGGTAATGTTTCTTATGAACCAAATACTGATGAGAAATGGATAGTAGACACTGGAGCTACAAATCATATGGTTGGTAATGAACAGCTTCTGCTTGATAAATTGTTAGTAGGTAATGCAGAAAATGTACAGCTCCTTACTGGAGAGTCTACTAAGGTGTCACATGTTGGTAGTTGTCAATTAGATGGAGGTGATACTATTAACAATGTCTTGTGTGTACCAGCTTTCAAGTTTAATCTTTTGTCTGTGTCTCAACTGACAAAAGCTTTAAACTGTTGTGCTGCATTCTTTCCAAATTTCTGCATATTTCAGGATCTCTTCACTGNGTCCGATGTGCTTACCACTCAGGAGCTGAGGGGCATGATACAGAAAACTGTTGGACGTTGAAAAGAGTTGTGGAAGACTTGATAGAGCAAGGAAAGATAGTGCTAAAGGACGAGGAGGTCCCAAATGTGACCAACAATCTTTTGCCAGCCTACAATAATGGACCTATGATTAGAATGATCTGCGAAGATAAAGAGATCGATCCGGCATTAAAGGCTATCATTGCTATCGCTGATGCGGAAAGAAAGCCAAAGGTGGCCCCGAAGCAAGAGAAAGGGGAAAAGAAGAGCAAAATCACCAAGACAGAACCAGAAAAGAAAGCTGATTTGAAAAAAGGAACACAGATGTACGTACCCAAGCAAGCCTATNAGATGGATTTGGATTTTCTATTACATCTTAAGTCTGATGTTATTACAGTACTGAAGAATTTCATTGTTATGGTAAAAACTCAGTTTGGTAGAAGGATCAAATGCTTTAGGTCAGACAATGGTTCTGAATTCTTTAACCATAATTGTGCAACTCTGTTTAAAATGTATGGAATTATACATCAAAGTTCCTGTCCACACACTCCTCAACAAAATGGAGTGGTGGAAAGGAGACATAGACATGTTCTAGAAACTGCAAGGGCCATCAGATTTCAGGGGCACTTGCCAGTGAGGTTTTGGGGTGATTGTGTGGATGCAGCTGTGTATATAATAAATAGAGTTCCCTCCACAGTACTAGGGAACAAGTCACCTTTTGAGTTGTTTTATGGGAGACAGCCTTCATTGTCACATATGAGAACCATAGGGTGTTTGTGTTTTGTGTGAGCATGCGATTTTTGCCTCGTTTAATTACTCCTATAAAATTTATTAGAATTAGGATTTTTCTTTATTACTTGAATTTTTAGAAATTAATTGCGTGATTTCGTGTTTTGCTTTTGTGTGCATTTTTAGTTGTCAAAAAAATGAAAGAAAAATTATAAAATAGCATAATAAGCATTTAGGATCCAATTCTAGCATTTTTATTAGTAAATTGATATTGCGAAAAATAAAGAAATACCAAAAATGTATCTTTTGCTTTTTTTATTTTTGTTTCAGAAAAATAATAAATAGACAAAAATCAAAGAAGAGCAACTAAGAAGATAATGGGTCTTCATGGATTACCTAATTTTGGGCCAAATCCGGTCGAAATGGCCCAAGACCCCTTCCAAATCGTTCCCCAGTCCAGTCCACAAAGCCACCCGGTCCACCCTTTTTTTTTTTAAAATCGAAACGACGTCGTTTCTTTTCCATCAATCTGGGCCGTCGAGGATCTTTGATCCTACGGCTCGGAACTAACGGTCTCTAGATATAAAACTGTCTAAATCCCTACCCCCTACCCCCTTCTCCGTCTCTCTCATTACCCCACACTCAAACCCTAACCCTCACCGTCTTCCGCCTCAAACCGCCGCCGGAAATCGCCCACGGCGGCGGTGAAACTCCAACAGTCCCCAAACTTACACCCCCACACCATCTCGACCCCTTCATTCCAAATCCAACCCTGTTTTCCTTCAAATCCCAATCAAAACCCCCAAATCCTCGAAACCCTAGGCGCCGCCACCAACGTGCACGGCGGCGCCGCCTCCAAATAACCTCAAAATAACATCCTTGAATCCTGTTATCCTCCTCATGCAAAAACCCCAATCCATCCCTGTCGAATCATCATCAAGCGGCTCGAATATCAAATCTAGGGTCACCCCTTTGGAGTCAAGGTTTAAATTAACCCATGCAACGGCCTCCTAGCATTCGTGAATATCAGGGCGTATAGTGAGTTCTCTTTCTTCTTTTCTTCTGTTTATTTTTTTTTTCTTTTCTTTCTTTCTGTTCCTTCTTGATTTTTCTTCTTTTTCTATTTTTAGTGGTCGAGTTTCTGTCCTTCTCCTTTGTGTTTTCAGTCCGAATTGATAATTGTGATAAATTTGTTGTTCAGGCATGAATACTGTGTCAAATCATGTTGGTTTTTTTTTTATATTTTATAAACTTAGGGCTTTGGTTTAATTAGACTGCGAGAATGGTTAAAAGTAGTAAATGTTCTTCCTGGTTTTTCGATTAGTTTAAAATTTTGCTTGATCTCTGTTTCATGTTGATTCTGTTGGGTTTAATTTTTTGATTCATGATTAAATTTGTTCTCATTGGGTTTAATTGTTGTCTTGATCCTGTTTTGTGATAATTGAACCTTGCTTTGATAAGCTTTAGTGTTATTAGCTAGTTAATTAGATTAGATTTCTGTTAATTGTTCTTTGAATTATTTTTGTTAGTGTAATTAGAATTGTTTTCCAGCCTTGTTAGTTTATTTTGATTGATAGGATTTCTGTTAGTTTTAGGTGATTGGATATAGCTGATCAGTACATATTTTAATTAGGGTTAATTTTGGTCAAAGTAATAGAGCTGGGTTAATTGATATAAAGTGGGTAATTTCAGGGGAATCCAGGGGTAATCTAGGTATTTAGAAATGGATAGGAATGCTGTAGTTTAAGCTAGAATCTTCTAGGACCTTCTAAAATAGGGCCTTAGTTCTAATTTCAGAAACTTAATGCAGTAACTTGAGAAAGAAGTCAGAAAAGAAGGGATTATTTGGTTAAAACTGAAAATAAAAAAGGGACTAGGGGTGTAAAGCTGAAAATCTGAGAGGACCCTCAAGTTTGCCTATAAAAGACAGTCCTCATGCCTTCTTTCAGAGGGTTTTTAGAATCCGAAAAGTTTCCCAAAATTTCCAGCCTCCAAAATTCCCCCGAAAACACTTTCTGCAAGTTTTGAAGCTCTGAAATTTGAATTTCAAATTCAAAAAGCCAAGTTTGAAATTTAGAGTTAGAAAGTCCTTTTAGATCTTAAATCTTCAGAAAACTCCCAAAAAATACTG